ATGAACTCTAAAATTTAAAGGATACTTTCTTATTTCAGAGATATTACTTTATATATTAAACTTCATTTTTAGAGCTCTTTCATAATTCTGTAAAATAACCAAAATGTTCAGATCAAGCCATATCAAACTGGTGAAGAAATATTTTAAAATAAAATCCAGTCTTCATCCCCCCCCAACAATCAAGTTAAATTATCCCTTTTAATGGGTCTAGTCAGTAGAACAACATTTCTTTCGTTTTAATCATTTTTCTCCTGACATTTTCTCTCCTTTTAATCATTTCTTCGTAAACAGTTGAGTGTTTACAATCCTCCAGGCAAGGAAAGAGAAAATGATGAGAATATTCCCATCCCAGGGCAGGAGGAGTGATTACTGCTTCTTTTAAAAATACCTTTGAGGTGTATTTCTTAATTTTTCTCCTCCAACTTTAGTTTGACAACTTCTCAGAGAAACAAGAGGTTCAGTAAAGGGACTTGGTGTGTAACAACCTGGCTGCAGCGTGGCGTGAATGCTGGGCTGTGAGCTGCCTTCCTCAGCGAGCATTGACTCCAACAAGGCCCATGATATCTCCAACAAGGACCTTCTTCAGTGTAAGGTCACATGCTTTTATCCCTGAGGTCTATTGTAAAATGGCAGCCAGGGACAGCTGATCAACTCAGAAGATAGGCTTTGTAAAACACTTCCATAGAATTTTAGAATATGCCTGGAGCTGGTCATCTTATGGCCAGATAGTCCTTAATAACTGGAACCATACACGTTTCTATGCAAGGGGAGAGGAGTACATGCCCCCAAGGTTCTGAGAAACTGCATGTGACAGCCTCCTGGCTGGGTGACATTATTTTTTTGGTTATGCACAAAATTTTCTTTCCTCTCTCCACATCACTGGGCCAGTAGGCCATTGTGTCAGAACGACTCTTGTAGTAGGAGCAATCTTTTTTCTGTACATACACACAGAGCTTGGGACAGATCCCATCTCCCTAAAACCAGAGAGAAACATGGCTCTCTAGCAATGTCCGAACACGATGTAATCATTCCCCTTTACTTATGTTAAAACTCACTTTGAGGGTGTCCTTGTTAGTTTAGCATATCCCGGCAATCATTCTGGCTCCAAATAAATAGAAGCCCTACAGCAGAACTTAATATGGCAGTAGAAAGGTCAGGTTGTTTTTTCTAATTCCATCTCCTTCAAGCTGTAAAAAAATATTTTTAAGCTCCTTTAGTATTACCAAACATGTACAGAGGTCCTCCTAGGGTTGATGCATCCTGCAAGACCTCCCACATATTTGAAGAGACATCAGAAAAGTCATTTAAGGCAATTTTAAAATACCTTCCAGCCGATTAGCATGAAAGTATTAAAAAATACAAAAGCAGAGTGCTACAGACTGAACATTCACATCCTCCCCAGATTCATATGTTGAAACCTCCATCTCCAATGTGATGGTATCAGGAGGTAGGGCCTTTTTAGAGGTAAGTAGGTCCTGAGGGCAGAGCCCTCATGAATGATATTAGTGCCCTCACCAAGAAGAGACAAGAGAGAGCTTACTCTCCTCGGCCAGGTGAGGATGCAACGGAAGACGAATGTCTGCAAACCAGGACGAGGGCATTACCAGGAACTGAGTCAGCCTGCACCTGGGCATTAGACTTCCCAGCCTCTAGAACTGTCACATAAGCCACCCAGGCTGTGGTATTTTGTTATAGGAGCCTGAGCTGGCTAAGACACAAAATAACTTCAAAAATGAATAAAATCAAATATCACTGGCTAAGCCAAAGAATGACCATCCCCAAAGTAGTTAAATTCCTTTTAAGTTGTCGACCGTCCACAAAATCTTCCACCAAATCTGCATTAGTCCCATACCAAAGGAAACGATGCAGTGATTTTTATTAACAATGGAGCAAAACGTGAATCAGTGGCCTAATGACACGCACGAAGGAAAAAACATTCAAGTCAGGTCACTGTCCTTACCCCTGGTGGCCAAAAGGCCAACACAAAGTTTGTGTTTTGCTAACATTCAAATGTCAAACACATTTACTCACTGGAGCTCTCTGAGAGATGTCAGTACCTCTGAGAGTTTTCTGAAGGTTACCAAACTAAAAGTTGGGAATATTTATGGTCTTTAACTCCGGGTGGGCAAAAAGTGCTTGGCTTTCAAGGGAAAAAACAAACAAACAAAAATTTTCAAAACCTAATGAAACAGATTCTAAAACTTCAGGGTTTGGTGGAGAAAGAATTGAGAGAGAAGCAGAGTCAGAAAATGAATGTATAGACTGAAACACTACTGACAGAGGATAGATTTCTTTTAGAACACTTGTTCTGAAAGAGATGGTACCGCCCCCTAGAGGCAGTGTTGGGAATTGGTGAGCAGAGGAGGCGCCCATGACAGGTGGCCACTACTTGCATTTAATCTGTGGGAAGCTACACAAGCCCTACAGGTCAGACCCCTCATGACGAAGAGCTGTCCCCCAACAGTGCAACTTCCAACTGTTCCACCAAATATGCAGGTAGAGGGAAACCCAGTTCACAACTGTGAATCTACAATTTCATTTGCTATATAAACACCCAAGGAATTTTTAGCCCAGTTTTAATATGCTCTGGATTTTTCAGCAACGCATTTAGAAGATTCTATAAATGGAAGGAGGCCTGTACAGCAAAGAGATTATGAGTAAGGATGCCAGAGCCAGACTGCTTTAATTTTCATCCAAGCTCTGCCATTATCAGAAGATAACTCAGACAGTCAGTAGATAACTTAGATAACCTGTCCCTATGTGAAGGGGATATAAAAACAGCACTCATCTCACACAACTGTTAGGGAAGGATTTGGAACAATGCCAGGCACACAGCGAGCACAGCCTGAGCGAGGATCAGTTCTTTTTTTACCAAGAACTTTATCAAGAATTGACCACATTTTAGTAAATCACTTTTCTGACATCAATCCCATCCCTGGTATTGATTTCGAAGGTAGCAAGCCTGTATTGGTCTGTGCTGATCGCTACCATGCTCGTTGTGTTTTCTATGTATTTATACACACACAGAGTATGTGCCTTGTCTCAGTATCATTTCACTACATCTTGTAATTGTGCTACAGCATTTACATATTAATTATTTCATTATAAAATTTCAGTTAGGATACCATATTGATATGTCTAGAACAGTGATTTTCAACCTGTGTTGAACCATGCTGGTGTGCCATGAGAGGATCTCGTGTGCTGCAAAATTTTTTTAAAATCATTAATTAATTTGTTTTCAAAAGAAGTTCAAAGCACAGGGGACAGCACCTGTGGCTCAAAGGATTGGGCACCCCAGCCCCGGTCAAAAACTGCAAAAAAAAAAAAGTTCAAAGCACAGCACTGTTTTTTCTTTTTGATCAACCTAATTTAAGTGTGCTGCAGAAGTTAAACTATAGGGTAAAGTGTGCCGTGAGATAAAAAAAAAAAAAAGTTGAAAAACACTGGTTTAGAGGCTGGATACAGTACCACTTAGTTTCATTTCGAAATGGTAAATGAGGTAATACTTTTATGTATAAAGGTAAATTGTGTCACTCATGATTTTCATTTGATGATTGTAATGTGGCATTACAAAAAGGGATGGGTGTTGAATTGGGTCTAGCAGGCTTAAAAAGAAAACAGCACTGTTTTAAGGTGTCATGTCAAAAAGTATCATCCTGCATCTCCATGTGGCAACACACATGTGCCATTAAACCTGGATTATTACTGAGGCAAGCAGTTTCTCCTAAGTTCAAAGCAATCCATATGAAACCATTGTTTACACATTTCAATACAAAGACGGACAAACTTTTTTTTAGCAGCAATATATTGTTCAAACATAATTCAGAAGAGAGCCTCAAATAAAGATAAAAATGCAGCAGCAGAGAGGGACTGACCGTAGAGGATGCAGAGACTTCTCTGGCTGTCCCCGGGACTTCAGGGGAAAAAAGCGCCCATCTGGTTGGGGGTGCTGCCAATAGTGACATTCTGAAAATGCATTTTGAGGATGGCTATTCAATTCACAAGTGACATTTTCCCCATTTTCTCCAAAATTAGGGGCTAACCTACCAGCTAAGCGGCGAGACTCAGTATGCTGTGGAGCTGCAGCATCAGGGGGTGGGGTGGGCAGGTGCTGCCCCTACTGCCCGGCACACAGCCAGCTCCAGCCCACAGCAGGATGCACAGGGCCACGCACTTCCTCCTCCCTGGCTCCCCCTCATCACCAGCACCTCGCACTAGATCTCCCTGTTCCACACTCCCCCCTCACAGTGGGCCAAGTTCCCAGTGAATCACACCCACCAAGCCTCTTCTGTCGGACACCCTTAGATCTCCCATAAAATGCCCAGACCGTCCCTGCAGGGCCTGTGGAGCAGTGATTTTCAACCAGTGTGCCGTGACAGGATCTCGGGTGGGCCACCAACATGTTTAAAGATCATTAATTAAAACATATTCAAAAAAAGTTCAAAGCACAGTAAGTATATATTTTTTTTTACTCTTTTTTCTTTTTTGGATCAACCTAACTTAAGTGTGCTGTGGAAGTTTAGTGAGTTTATACTGAGATACAAAGGTTGAAAGACACTGCCTCAGAGACTGACAGCAAAGCGTCTGGGCTGAGCCCAGCCACCTATCGGGGAGAGGCTGCCGGCCCCTCTAACCCCCCAGAAGCATCTGAAAGGGGGACTGTTTGCCAGTGCCAGGGGGCTCTCCCATGTGCTGAACTCCAGGCAGTTCAGCAAAGCTGAGAGAGGCACCGTGGGGGAGACTAGAGGATATCTGCTCTGCCCAGGAACATCCCTCAAAGGATCCCCCCATATAATGGCACTTTGCACACACCCCTTCTTCTCCTCCATTTCCAATCCATAAAATCCCAAAATGCCTGGCAGGATTTGTTTTGGTTTTTTGACAACAGTGCCCTGCTGACAATAGTGTTGGTCACTCTTGATAATCTGAAAACACCTTAAATGCTTTTTTCGTTGGGTTCGTGTATGACGCGAAACAGAAATACTTCAATCACATGTGACTAAGAATAAGAAAAATATACAACTATATTTAAAACACTTAAATTAACAAGATAGTACTTTTCCATTCTAACAAAATATCATACATTCAGTTTAAACAAGAGTTAATATCCAGACACGCTTTTCCAAAATACCTGATGCAAGTTGAAAATTAGTGACCACAAGGCTTTCCAAGATATTTCTAGTTAGCAAAATGTGTACAATTTCAAAGAACTGTACATTCTTTTCTGGAAGATAGACATTGGACAGGGTGAAATGCAAACTGATCTATGTCTCATTAACCCAAATCTTGTTTCATGTTTCTGAATGATACTTTGGCTGTCAGCAAATCGTATAGCTTCCTTCCCTTACAGACAATAATATGTAACAACAACAACAATACCCCTCACAAATAAACATACAGTTCTTTGTGTGTAATAAGCCCTATCAAAATGTGTTCATGTGGTTTGTATTAACTGACCTATACTGAGACTTACAAAAATGGAAATGAATCAAGTGTAACGGGCCTACACTTACACCTCTGTTTGGAGAGCAGGAGACACTTGCCACGTGTTATTTTCAAAGCCAAACTCCTGCACTTACAAATGTGGCACATAGCCTTAAAAATCAAAACAAAGACGTTTTCTCCACTGGCTTTTTTAGGTAAAGAAGTTGGACCACAAACCAACACATCTGTACGACAATAGCCACCAATTTTAGTCCCCCAACCTCCCAAAAGGAACAATGCCAACAGTTTCTCACAATGACCAGAACATTTCTGGCCGCGGCTCTGATTTATGGAGTGTGTCTCCATGTTCTGTCTCTGAGAAAGCAGGAAGAGAAGGCTCTGTCCATTTCCCTCCTGGGCCCCCGTAAGCCAGCACCTAAGATCCTCTGGATTTGTTCCCATTCAATTACCTCAAACTTCCAAGAAGGGCAGTATAGAACTTTCCAAAAAGAAAAGAAAATGAGAATGCAGAAGGTCACTCCCTAATACTGTGGGTGAGATGGGAAGAGGCTGTCCACTGCGGAGCAAGGCACTTGGGGCAGCAGCGGGCAGGACCCGGAGCAGGGCAGCTCTCAGTGAGTCAATAGTTTCAGGCGAGTAAACCAGCTGACCAGCAGGGACGGTTCCGTGGACGAGGACTTTGAGGCCGAGGACTTCGAGGCTGAGGAGACAGATTTCTTTTTGGTCCCTTCCTCCTGGAATGGAATCGTGGCGCTGCTGTGGAGATCTGAGTTGATGTAGCACCTGCTTCCTCGGATGTAGTCTGCACCACGGACCAGCTGCCGCTCCGTCGTGGGTCTGGAGAACCGGTGCGGGACAGAGGAGCTCTCTTCGACGATGGGGGGTATCCGCTCGTTACTGAAATACCGGCAAAGGGCGTCTTCTCCTGTTTTCAGACAAAGCCCACAATTCTATTAAAATAACCATCCACTGCACCGGCCTGCCTAGACTTCAGCCACCACTCTGACAGTGGGCACCATCCCCTGCTCTCCCTGCCTGGATGGGCTACAAAACCTCACACATGATCCAGCCCACCCCACTGGGTGCTCAGAAAGCAGAAACAGAGGAAGAAGGTCCCTCGTGACTTAAGCTGTGTTGGCCCCGAGAGGTAACACAGGCACAGCAGACTCAGAGAGCCTGTACTTCTTCACGGGTATAAGATTCTTACAATTTCGCTTGAATTCGGAAGACAATGAGAGCAAGTCCCATGACTATCACTCCCTCCCTGCAGGTCCTTGCTCATGCCTACAGCACAAGCTTGGGCCTCTACAGCAAGGCTTCTTCTAAGGAGCATGGAGGGAGTTGGGGATGCACTGTCACCCCGAGTGAAGCACAGTGCGGGGCATTCAAAGACTGGGGTGTTCCTGGGAGAATGACATGACCCTAAATGCCAGTAGAGCCCCTAGGATAGGGGGATGTTTAAGAAACTCAACAGAAACTGAAAATTCAGTGCCCTTTGGTAACACCAGTATTCTTTTGACCCAGGAATGTGTGGAGACTATGGATACAGGTGCTTGCAAAAACATGGATAAATGGGGAGAAAATAACCTAAATCTCCAAAGTAGCAGGCTAAATAAATAGGTGCTACAGCCACAAGATAGACTATTAATGGAGCCACGTAAGAAAATACATGATATAGGAAATATTCACTTTACATAATATTATTGAACATCTATTTCTTCTATTTTGCACACTTTCCAGGTATATCAATGTAAACCTAGGAATAAACAGAAACCACACCCAACATGGCTATTTCTAGGTTAGGGAAGCAGGTTCCAGCTGAGTTTTATTTTCTCATGCCTTCTAGATGTTTTTCAATGTGTCTGTTTTGCTTTTGTATTCAAAATGGAAAAGACACTTTTATAAAGTGCCTATTGTCAAAAAGCCACAAATTGTAGATACATCTATTTATATGAAATGTCCAGAATAGCAACTAGGCAAATCCATGGACTCAAAGTAGATGAGAGACCATCCAACGTACTGGGGAAGGATGGACCTGGGAGTGACTGCAGACAGCTATGGGATTTCTCCTTAGTTCTGTTTTAGGGTTGTGATAATGTTCTGGAATTAGAGAGTGGTAACTGGCGCACGACTCTGTGAATATACTAAAAAATGCCTAATTGCATATACTTTAAAAGAGTGAACTTCTTATGCTGTAAGTTATATCCCAATCAATCTGTTATTGTTTTTAAGTGGCCACGGGCAGGTATCTTTTATCCTAAAATAATCGTGCAGGACAAATGTGGAAGGAGTGGAGGGGACCGGTAATTGTCCAATTTCCCAGTTTCACACTCCTCAACCCTCTCCTTTCTCTTCTCAATATATGAAAGAAACAAAAGGCTAAATCCAGGTTCCTAGGAATGGCATTGAAGATGTTAACATTTTTAAATCTAAACAAAGGACAGCCCTGCCACCTGCTGACTGCTCCACAGATATTCACCTGTTAACTACGAGTAACTTGAACATACACAGGCACCCATCCTTTTCTCACTCTAGCAAAATCCAAGTGGCATGGGTGCTTAAGACAAACTTTAGTAAGTCCCCAGTAGATGTCACGGGCCTTTGCAAGGTTAGAACCTCCAGAATTTTTTTCTTCTTCTTTTTCTATCTAAAGCCTACGGTGCTATTTGTTTCAACACTGCAAAAACAATGCTATGATGTTTTGCCAATGTTGATCCAAGCATCACCTGGCAAAAAAAAAGAATATTTTTAAACATTTCCTTTAACGCTAGTATCGTAAACAGTAACTTTGATTACAGGGCAAATTAAATACAAATTTCTTTTCAAATGGTAATTGAACACAAGGATCTGAAAGAAAAAAATTAATGTTCATTCATCAGAAATGAATGAAATTCCAATAACAATACTCATAACATTTAGGATAAGAATAATTTCTTTCTCCTTATTTAAGAATTAGACCATTAATGTCTACGTTTTTATAACACACAATGTTAATCAGTCATTAACAAGTGATTTTTTAGTCACTAACAAGGATTATGAAATCTGCCATTCTAGAAATAGGCAGGAGCTGAGAGGCCTTCAGCAGTACTGATTTTATAGAAGAGAAATGGGACTCAGGAGGTTATGTGCTCCGTCTAGTTATTTTAACACATTTAGGAATAGAATTGAAACTGAGGCCTGGGTCTTCTGACTCCCCACTTGGGTCTTCTGGTTTGCTTACATTAAACATACCTTTCCTGCCATGACCTCGAGGTTTGGCAAAAGGGTCCACAATCCCCATCCAGTTCCCATCCGCAGGCATGGACAGAGGCCGGGGCTTCCCTTTTAAGGACAAAAAGGAAGATGACAAAGTTGACGAGTTTGGGGACTTCTGAGAATCCTTCCCTTCATTTATAACTTGGACCCCACAATATCATTCCCACTTAAATAAAAGTGACAACACATTTTAAAATAAGTACAGTAGAACCTCCATGGCTGACCACTTCTCGACATTGACCACCTCCTTAAGTTGAACTAATTTTCATAGATCGGACATGCACCACATGTACATATCAGTACAGTAGCTTAGCTCTATATGTTGACCACTTCCACTTGTTGGCCGGTTTGTTACAGTCCCTTGGTGGTCAGCTTACAGAGGTTCTACTGTACTTTAAAGCACTGCATTTCCATAGCAAGCAGTTAGGACAGGTTCACGCTAAACTTGAGACTGAGTCTGTGGAGCAAAGCAACTCCCAAGTCAAAACCCAGACACTAAAAGTTAAAATTGTAACATGATCTCACTCAGCTGAGCTTTGATGCCAGGCAGAGGAATGACTCAACAAGGCTTGCTTTAGAGAGATGAATAAAGGTCTCATACTTAGAATTTCATTGAGGTTTATGTTTTCCTCGGATTACCCTTAAAGCCTGCCAAATCCATCCAGCAGTTCCAAATAAGGACGGGGGTGGGGGCGAGAAGTAAAAGCCAACTGCGGAACAAAACAAACACTTGGAAGTTTACCATAACATGGAGTTTTCTCTCTCATTTTTGTGGGCAGAACATTGGTTTCTACAGAATACCCAGGCAACTGATCAGAGTCGGCAATGGTGAATCTTCGTCTTCGGCTCTCGTGGTCCAAGAAGGAATTTGGGGACTCGGAACCCTTAGGACCAGGCAATGGTTGCTTACACTTACTGATTCCTCCATAAACAAAACTCCCATTCTCATCCCTGGAAGATAACGTGCAATAATTAAGTTGCTTACAAAGATTCTCTCACACTGCAGAATTACAGGAATCACGCTACATCCAGCATACATTAAGAAAATCTAAATTCTCCTTTGCCACTGGAGGAAAAAGCAGTCCTCTTTTTAACCCCAGTTGCCTCTCATATACATACAGATCTTCCTGAATAAGAGCCAATACCATGATCCTATTAAAAAAAAGAGCGAATGTAACTTTGTCTATACATGTTTAAACAAAAGTGGCTTTGAAAAAACAGCTCTTCTTTTCTTGTGTTTCTGTCCCATAGTGCGAATCTCCTATTGACTGTGTAAGGTATGATCTATCGAGCCATTTTTCTCATGCCAAGAATAGCATCTGTGCCAAGATTCAGCAAAAAAGACTCTTGATGTATAATGAAGTTGTTCAATTTGAAATTATGTTAAAAAACACAAAGGAGGCTTTATAGGACCTGACGGAGAGTGACTCTTTCATGAACTAAATACTACAGAAAGCAGAAGTGGGATCACCAATTTCATCTTAATTCTGTCAATGAATAATAAAACTTAAAATTGATTTTAGCTGAGCCCTAGTGCCAGAGGGTTCAACTAGTTGCATTTAGTAAATCCTAGACAAAAACTACTACAAAATAGAGAACCAAGTTCCAGAGCCACCTAACGCAGCCAGCCCTGCCTGTGTGTGGTATCCCAGGGGAGCTCGGCACTCTGCCCACCCCTCCCACCTAGGAATCTACTCCTTCCACACCTTGAAACCTAGCATGTAATTCCCCCATCCACAAAGCTTTCATGACTCACAACTCATTTTTTCCTCTAACTCATTTCCATTTTTTTATTCCTCAGAAAATATCCTTAATTAGTGGTGTGTGCGCACCAGAATGTGATCTCCAGAGCATCTCCCCAAAGTAGCTTAACCTAGTTCCCTCTCTCCCCATCGATGTAACCCTTTTTTCTTGCCACTAGTCCTGGGATTTCTTCCTGAGGCCCAGACAAGAATATTTGGGGTCAGGGGAGGGCCTCTCCCTGTGGTTCTGACAGAACAACCCACACACTGGTTGTCAGTAAAACTCCGTGCCCTAGAGGTACAGAGGCAACGGTGATCTGCACCTCTAAATGCACCCTAATCCCGAGAACCAGAGGGCCTGGGCCACCTGCGGTAAATTCTCTCTGTGCTATAGTAAGTTCTGAGTAAAATGAGACTCAGGAAGAGGAAACAACGTTGAATCCTCTCTGTCCCTGACACCAAAGAAACACAACGGAAGCAAATGGCTCAGCTACAAAGGAAGAACTCCAGGGGGCGCAAAACGTCACTGTCATCAGTGCAGTCTGAACTGGGCCCTTTGAAATATTACAGTATAATTGTGTATTTCTCAAATTCTTCTTCATAGGTGAATCAAGTCTCTGGAAGTTGTCTACGAGTAAGCAGTGGGTCTGTTTTGTGTCAGGTGGTAACACTCAGGAAATGTACACAGAATATACAGAAATACATGTACATTGGGTTCTCTAGTTTTATCCACATATATAAATATGCAAACTGAAAGCATAAGCCTAGATCACCTCCATCATCTCCGACCTTTATATACCATCCTCATTATACCATACAGCAGCGGTTCTCAAGCTACAGTTATGAAGTAGCCACAAAAATAATCTTATGGTTGGGGGTCACCACATATGAGGAACTGTATTAAAGGGTTGCAGCATTTGGAGGCATTAGGAAGGTTGAGAACCACTGCCATAGAATGTGGTTTTTTCCAAGACAACTGTCTTTAAGAGTCTGTAATACACACACATAGGCAGGAAACATCCGTACCTACACTCACCTGGGGTTTTTTACAGTGCTGTGAAGAACACACCCTTCTCAATAAAATAAAGCTGTAACATTAATTAGCCTCACAGAGTGTTCATTATCTTCCTCCCCCAAAATGAATTTATTAGGGTATTCATGAAACTTAAGCTACAGGGTCCCCAGAAACAGACCTTCCAAGGCCTCGGGCAGAGGATATGGTTCCATAAATTTTTCAAAAGATATTTCTGTATTCCTTTCTTAAAGTGCTCCCTTCTCACCAAATTATAAAGTTCAAGCCCCATAAAACCTAGATCTATGCCTATACTCCTGTAGAGGAAAGCTGATCATACCTTTTTTTTATGCTTTTTTAAACTTTTTTTTTTTAGAAATAACAGAAATCTCTTTTATTTTTAGTTATTATGGATACATAATATAATAGCTGTATGTCTTTATCTACATACTATATCGTGACACAGTCATGCAACGTGACTCCATCAAATCAGGATAATAGGGGTGTGCAGCCCCTCACCTGTCACTTCTTTGTGTTAGGAACATTCTAGTTCCAGTCTTTTGGTTATTTTAAAGTTTACCCTAACTCACTGTTGATTATAGGCACTTTTACTGCTATGAAATATTGTTCATTCTAACCATGTATGTTTTTGTACCCATTTTAAAGTGCTATGCAGAACACACCTTTCTCAATAAAATAAAGCTGTGACATTAATTAGCCTCTTTTTAATGGCAGTTTCACAATGCAGACCTATCTCAGTGAAGGATCTTCCTCTCTCAAGATCCTTGTAAACTTTATAGCACCATCTAGAACTGCGGTCCCTGACCCCAGGCTGTAGTCCAGTACTGGCCTATGGCCTGTTAGAAACCAGGCCACACAGCCGGAGGCAGGTGACTGTGAGCGAGTGAAACTTCATCTGTATTTACAGCTGCTCCCCTTCACTGGCATCACCACCTGAGTTCTGCCTCATGTCCTATCAGTGGCAGCTTTAGATTCCATAGAGGTGCGACCCCTCCTATAAACCCACATGAGGGATCTAGGGTACCTGCTCCTCATAAGAATCTAATGCCACCCCCTCCCTCTCCATGGAAAAATTATCTTCCATGAAACCAGTCCCTTGTGCCAAAAAGGTTGGGAACCACTGATCTAGAGTTCATACCGAAAGGAAACGAGGGTACCATGAAAATGGAAATTAACATACCGGGGAGAGTAAGGAACAGATGGCGGGGGTGGAATGTACAGGTCCAGGATGGCTGGCTTCTCCTTCCTCAGTGAGGTATCCATGGTGCTTTCCGGGGACTGGGTCGTAGTGGGCGGAGGCGAGGTCTGAAACAGCAGAAGTCAATTGGGAGATTATTCTGGGTGCTCCTTCCCCTGCCCCAAACCAACACCAGCCTGTGTGTGAACAGTGGCTATGGCCATTTACAAATACTAACAGTATTTCACTTCTATTTTTCTTTAAAACACTCAAAATTGGGTGGCACCTATGGCTCAAAGGAGTAGGGCGCCAGTCCCATATACCGGAGGTGGTGGTTCAAACTCTGCCCCAAGCAAAAACTTGCAAAAGAAAACCACTTAAAATTAACCTAGGGTTTTAAAAGACTAGACACACGATAGTGAGAAGCTGAGGCTCAGGAGCTAGTGCCAGGGTTGTTGATGTATTTCTGAGCAAATCATGTAAACCCGGTGCCTCAGTCCCCCCCCCCACCCTATAAAAGGGTGATACAATAACTCTCACATAGAGGGGCAGTGAGAATTAGAAGAGTTAGTTCATGGAAATCACTAGCAATTCTACCATTACCGACTGCTCATTAGCTGTGTATCGCTGAGCAAGTCACTCAATTCCTCTGTGCCTCATCTGTACATGAGAATAAATAGGAGCTAAAACGGGTGGCTGTAAGGACTGAGACGACACATCTAAAGGACTCGAGACACAGCTTTCACACAGAAAGCAGGCAACCTCATACTGTCTGATGTATATCTGTGTATCCATACAGAGTGGCCACAAAGTTCATGTGCAATTTTAAATTCCACACACACTTTATGGCCACCCTCTCTATGTGTATATATGTGCTCATGCATACGAGTTAGTTTTAAAAATTTTGGACCCATATAGCTTAATTTTCATTATGTTATTGGTCTCAAAGTCCATAGTTTTACAATTATGTGTGAAAACCTCAATCTCATCTTTCCTGCAGTCTAACAATGACAACAACAAACTTTCACTGGTAAAGAAACAAGAAAATCTTAGACCCAAGGCATTCAATATTTGAGGAAGGCCAGCAAGAATTGTGCTGGGCCCTGGCAGGCATAAAAAGCCACCTGTGGCCCCAGTCAAACCCCAGTTGTATAGGAAGAAGTGAGGCTGTGAACCAGGTTCCAAGCATTGAAGGAAGAACAGCCAGAGTGAGGGAGCTGGAAGTGACCACCAGGAGATTCACAGAACGGATGTTCAGGAGAGACACAGAGTCACAGGGAGCCAGGGTCACCTTCTCCATGATGACGTTGAGAAGAACTAAAGAACTCCCTTCTGGGAATGGTGGGCTTCCAGGCAGAAGGAACACTGACGAATAAAACCTAGAGAAACAGCAAGTCCTCCGAGTAGCCGTCTGCCAGAATTTGTGTGTGAAACCATCCAGGATGCATCATGAGAACAATGACCATTAAACTAAAAACCAGCCTCTGCATCTTGGTGGTGATTACCTCCCCCCGCCACAGCAAAGCAGGTGCCTCCGTCTCTCACCACCACCTCCCTCCCAAACTGTACAGTGAGTGGAACTTGTCCAGAGATAGGCAAAACCAAGAACCTGGAAGAGCCGCTCTTCTTAGGTGAATTTCCACACATCAAGAAAGCACTACTGGTGGTATATAAAAATAATTTCCACTTGCATTCCGAACATAACCATGTGAATTTTCCTCTGTCACCTCAAACTCAGTTATGCGCAAAATACCTATTGTGTCTTCCTTCCACTGGCTTTCCTGACTCTAATTTCTGTCACCACTCAGGTTCTCTGTCACACTGGACACCTGCTTGTCCCCTGCCTCACTGGCTTCCTCAGCCTTACCCTGTCTTTTCTAATAGTCAACCCAAGAATTAAGACAGTGAGCTTAGAAAGACTAACTGCCTCATCTAAGGCCCCAGACTCTACTCTAGGAAACCTTATCTAAGACGGTGCTCCTCCCTGACGGCAGCATAGCCGTGTTTTTCTGGGCGAGTGTGTTTAAAAAATAGCATTCACCTCCTCTACAATATGTACCCCCACTTGCCAATGCCAACCCCACCTACCCTTCCAGGCTCCAAAATGCTCCCCTGCACCAGGAAGAGGTGCCTTCACCCACCCAGGGCACACCTAGCTCTGCGTCTTCAGAACCTATTACTTATCCCACGCACCAATCAGCAGGCAGACCTCGCATGTCGGCACTGCATCACTTACTACGAAGAATTAAGCACCTCTGAGTGTAAGTATCACATTCTGAGAATTAAAAAAAATAAAAAATAAAAACATGTTTGATTTCATACTGATCAGTGAAAACAGAAACAGCTGGGGTGTAATCAGTATGTCAGTTATGGACAACGATTTTTTAAATATAGCCTCAAAAGTACAGGTTAAAAAAAATAAAGAACAAATGGGATTACGGCAAACCAAAAAGCTTCTGCACAGCAAATATGACAACAAACACAGTGAACAGGAAATCTAAAGAACAGGAAAAAATAGTCAGAAATGTGCATCTGATAAAGGTTTACTATTCAAAATACCTAAGGAACTCAAACAACTCAATAGTATAAAAACAAATAACCTGATCAAAAGATGGACAAAGGACCTGAACAGACATTTATCCAAAGAAGACAGACAGGTGGCCACCAGGCACATGAACAAACGCTCAGCATCACAGATCATCAGGGAAATGCAAATTAAAACCATAAGGAGATATCACCTCCCATCTGTTAGGATGTTTGTTATTATCAAAAAGATAGAAGTGGTAGTGAGGCCACCATGAGGACAAGGGAACCCTGGTACACCGTTGGTGGCAATGCAAATTAGTACAGCCATTTAGGAAAATAGCATGAAGGGTCCTCAAAAATAGAACCATCATAAACTTGATCCAGTGATCCCACTCCTGGGTATGAATTACAGAAAATGAAATGGGAACGTTATAAAGATGTCTTCACACCCATGTTCGCTACAGCATGATTTACACAGCCAAGACAGGGAACCAACCTAAGTGTCAATCAACTGGAACGGACAAAGAAAATATGACGCATGTATACAGACAACAGAATACGATTTGTCTTTAGAAAAGAAGGAAATCCTGTCGCTGTTAAGAACATAGATGAACTCGGAGGACATTATGCTAAGTGAAATAAGCCAGGCCAGAAAGACAAAGATCCACTTAATCTTGCTTATACGTGGAATCTAAAAACGCCACAATCAAAGAAGCAGAGAGAAGGGTGATTCCCAGGGACGGAGGAGATACTGTGAAGGTAAAGGTTTCAGTCAGCTGGGAGGACTAAGGTCAAGACATCTACTGTACAACAACTGCAGCTGATAACGGCATAGCTCATGCTTGACAACTGCTACATTTCTAACACTTGTAAATACTCTCACCACAAATAAATGGTCTGTGAGGTAACACACAAGTTCATGAGCTTGAGTTAGCCATTCTGCAATGCAACACATTTCAAAACATTGGGCATACACTATAAATACATGTCAACTTTTTTTAAATTTATATATGCCCTTCCTATTGAAGAGGTGACTTTGATTCTGTTCCCCCTCGCTCTGCCCTCTGCTGTGTCTCCTATTTTTAACCCCTCCCCTGTGAGCAACATGTGTAGTCATATATCCAGTGCATCACAGTGTCCAAATCAAGACCACTGTTTTGTGTGAAGATATACAATGAAATCAAAGGCACAAGTCATGATCTTCATCTTAGAAAAGGGCATGAAAATGTTATTGTTTTTCATTCTTGGTGTAGGAAATAAACACCAAGGACTAATAGTTTAACAAGGAGGACGGCCAGAGAGTGCAGTCCAGCCAGAGGTGAGCACTAAAGTGTACGTCCATCTGCAAACAACTTCAGTAATAACACTCACTTAAAGCCAGTTTGTCTTTTACTATCACCACATATTTGCAATTCTAAACAATGCATCAACATTAATGTGATCCTACTCTCGACTAGGTGGGGATCGCTCCCAGCACCCCCTACCCAGCCTTGGTAAAGCACCACTAACAACTCAACCCATGTGGTCTCTCCACAAAGAGTATTCAACCTGTATTCAAACTGTAATACAACCACGTAAGTATGTATTTGAGATGAGCAAAGAGAAGGACTAGGATGAAATTTCTGCAGTGATGGGAATGTCAGTGTCTGCACGGTCCAATATGGCGGCCCCCAGCCACATGTGAATATTCAGCACTGACAGGTGGCCAGTGACGCTGAGAAACCAAACTTGGACTTTAACTTAATTCAGTAATTATTCAGTCATATAGAGCTAGTGGCTACTACACCGTCCAGTGTATTTCTAAAATTTGTATTTACACATAAGCAGGACAATAGGATAATTACACACAAACTTCTGAAACCAATCACCTTCAAATTTTAGTCTATTTGGGGATTCTTTTGGAGGGGAGACAGATCAGACACTGGACGTTGTTCACGTGAGGGTGACAGACGAGGGTCACAATGACCAATGGGTACCTGGACCAGGGGCGGCTTCCATCGCAGGTTCTTCAGGGGGGCAGGGGTGAAGTTGAAAGACCCGGGGGGACGCTTCTTCAGCAGCAGAACAACTCCTGAGGGATTTTCTCTCAGTTTCTTCACCAGATTTTTTAGCTGCCACCCCACCTTCAAAAGAAAAAAAGTGAGAAGGGGAGGACTTTCCCACGAACCACAAAATCCAAGTCTATGAATTTATCTGGAAGAAATCAGACTTGTGAGAAAATAAGCAGATACAATAGGCAGATGCAATAGGTACTTAAAATAGTGGAAAACAGGACGGAAGCTGAAAATGTTCATCATTTACACAAAATGTCTTTAAACGTCATTAAAAGTTCTACAGGAGAGAACTTAAGTCTCCACAAATAAACTCACCACAGTTTGCCGATTAACTTGGATGACTTCATCCCCGGCATGAATCTTCTGAGATCTGTCCGCAGGAGACTATATAGACACAAATAAAAACCAAAACGGGCTTAATTTTTTAAACCTTCTAGTTCTTTCTGCTTCTATCTTCTTTCTTTCTTCTATAGGCGACTAGCAACTGAGATAAGATTTTCTCAGGAAAAATGAAGCCAGGTACTGGAGTACTTTGAGATGACAGTGTGTGGGGACCTGGCGTGTGAATACTGGGTCATCTGTTTAATTAGTGTCTGTTATAACCTGTAATCGCTCAGTTAAACGGCCAGGTTCAGCTAGTCCCACCGAGTCTGGATACACTGTCAAAGTGATTAGCTGAGTAAAGCTAGTTTTCATCATAAAATATATTACACCTACATATCTCTATCAAAATTAACCTTATAAAAGCTGACCAACTGCTTAACTTGCAAAGATCATCTTTATAACTCTACCATCCCATTCGCTTATTAAATGAAATCTTATTTTCATTCAATCTTGTTTTTCATCACAAGGCTATTAAAATAGAAAGTTGGTACCAATCAAAAATTTCTTTCAAGGAAATGAATTTACTTTATTTCATTTTCAGATTAAATTCAAAATGAATGAAACTTTAGTAACAAAACAAAGCCCAGATTTTGTTTCCCTCAAATAATATCATGTTATTATTATAATTTTTTTTTTTGAGATAGAGTCTTACTATGTCACCCTCGGTAGAATGTCATAGTGTCACAGCTCATAGCAACCTCAAACTCGTGGGCTTAAGTGATTCTCTTGCCTCAGCTTCCCAAGTAGCTGGGACTACAGGTACCCGTCACAATGCCTGGCCATTTTGTTGTTGTAGTTGTCATTGTTGTTTAATAGGCCTGGGCTGGGTTCAAACCCACCAGCCTCAGTGCATGTGGCTAGCACCACAACCACTGAGCTACGGGCATGGAGCCTATGTTGTTAATTTTCAACCACTATAACAAAAATATGTACACTAAAATATAATCTAGTTGTCAAATACTTTGCTCACAGGATTCTTGTTCATATAGGCAACGTTTTGTTCTCATATATGAACAAAAAAAGCAGAAAGAATAGGGCTTTCATTTCAAATTCTAATCAAACATTATCTAGGCCAGAGTATTTAATTTGTAACCCATGTAACTAGTTGAATCTTTAAACAATTCACAACTATCTAAAAAAACAGTACGTTTGAACATGGGGAGAAGAACACCAGCTATACCCAAGACACCTTCCCTGAATTACGTCACTCAACGCTGTTGAGAGACTCAACAACAAATTACCAAGCCCCACTGAACTGCAGAAATATCTCCTTTGATCTGGTCTGGTCCAATGCAAGGCACAGGCAACTATGACAGTTCCTTTTGAAATCACTTAACCTGCTGCCATAATACCTGAGAGACCAGCAACATGGGCCCCCAGGGAGACAGCCCATCTTGAGTCCCTAAGTCACTTAAAAAAAATCAGTGCATCTAACTTCCCTTTTGCCTCTGTGTGTCAAACGTGTACCCCATAGTTGCAGACCTAACTCTGGTAATTCTGATCCTAATCAATCCAGTCCAGTTAACTTCCCAAACAAGGGATTCACTTAAGATAAGCTTTACATTACAAAAGATGACCCTGAAGGCCAGCACGTCCCTCCTTACAGACGGGCAATCTTATAAAACAAGCACCTGTGTCCGGAATTGACCTCCCTTCCTGAGGCTCCTCACCCATTCATTTCTCAAATGTCTGACCACATGACTAGGAGTGGGGCTTGGCAGAACATGTGTAAAGAGAGCTCGGGACCAAAGCCCTGCCCCCTCCGCAGCTCTCGCCTATCTTCCCCACGAGTCGGATATCTTATGCTGGTTTGCTGCAGGGGAGTATTGGCCTGGAGAATAAGGCGCCCATTCTTCAGAGGCTGATCTACCTCCCATCTAATCCTGGAGCAGAAGATGGGAGGACGGATGAGCCCATGTCCTGCCTCTTATCAAGGTCTTGCACAAAATCAAAAAAATAAAGACCTCAGAGAATCACAGACACTGTTAGTCTGACCTTGGAATGATCCTGGTCTCTCCAGTAACCTTCAAATAGATGAAATGAAGGCCTGAGGATGGCCTGTTGGTGTAGCTTGGGCCCGGAGTCCACGAGAGAGGAATATGGAAACAGTTCCCTTGGAAATGCAACAGCTGATTTCCACCCACTGCCACTCACCATGTGAGGCTTCCATTAAAACATCCTGACTCTGACATCATGGTGACTTCCAGTGACACTACGAAAACTAACCTGGAACTGGCATTTTCTACCAAAATGCAAGTATAAAATATCCAAAGTTAAGTCCAAAATCTCCAGATTAAACCCTTGAGAAGCGAGCTCTTACCTAACTTTCCACTGTCATCCATACGACTTAGCCTAATGCCTGGCATGTTCCAGGTACTCAGTAAACAAGTTGTGGCTGTGTACGGTGCCATATGCCTATAATCCTAGAACTCTGGGTTGAGGCTGCTATGAGCTGTGACACCACGGCACTCTACTTTGGATATTTTATACTTGGTAGAAAATGGAGCAGGGTCCAGAAGAAAAGAAACTCAATGATTTCTGGGTTTCACATAGTGGGACTGCTTCAAGAAGACAGAATCTGGAACCACACAGGTCTGGCTAAGTCAATCAGTGTCATCGCCAAATTGCCAGACTATGAAACTTCAACTCTGAAAACTGAAATGACATTCAGCATTCTGAATCCATCCACATCCACATGTACCGAGTGGGACGTGCCTGCGTGTGTCATGGCTGAGCTGCAGCACACAGTCTCCAGGAAGGGGAGAATCACATGATGCCTTATGCAGTTTCTGTAGCACCATCCCCAGCCTAAAAGCAGAGCTTCCTGGGCTGTTACTCCCTATCAGGTGACATGGCATAAAAAGTTGAATGCTTCAAGATGCCACCAGCTCCTAACTCGTTCATCTGCAATGTGTTTATAATTCACTGACTGCCTTAAACAATGTCATTTTCCTTTCCATAAAAATCAGGTGTTTATCACACTCAAACATCATGCCATTTTCCTTTTATCAAAAGATCTAGATGCCAAAACTCAAAATTATAGACATCGAACAGATTGGAAAAGTGGTTACCGAAACCTACTTTAGGAATTATTTCCTCCTGTCCTATTACTACATGGTAGATTCACTCCCAAGAAATATGCTTTTTTTTTTTTTTTTACACAGAATCAGGCAAGCCATTCAAACATTTTTAGTTTCGTATCAAATGGCTCATACTAAAGCCATTCCAGAGCCAGCCATAGTGTAGGTTCCACGAGGAAGCCCTCAGTAGCTCTACCTGTGAACAAGTTCACTGGAAGTAAAGAACGTACAAAAGTCTCTCACAGCAGGAATAGACCAGATTTGGGGAGGGGGACTAAATTTCAGTATCAAATATTATAAGATACAACTATAAAAATACATTGTGCAAAAATTCCAAAATAGCTGCCTTGGAGGCATATGAAAATTCCATCAAACAAACCAAAAAGATTATATTTTACACAGGGCCACCAATTCCAGTTCCTGTAAGAGCAATTCTCAATAACGAGATCATTGTTTTTGTAACTATGGCTAAACACTTCCAGGGTGTGGAAGGAGTAATGAATACAAGGGTCGGGGGGAGAGGTAGGCAAGGTGTATGAACAAGGGCAATAAAGAATGATTTAAATAATAAATGGACACCAGCTTGTGATGAACAGCGTCCTATCAACTGAACTAAACAAAGCAGGCAGCCAGGCTCTCACTCCAGGTCACAAAACAACATGCATGACATTTACGTGAAAAGCAGGAGAGCATGTGTCGAATTTGTTTAAACACACAGCAGACGTGACCTCTAACGGCTGTACACTTACATTTTCTGTGGTTCCGGTAATCACGTGCAGTCCATCGTAGGTTGATTTGATGTACATGCCCTAGAGTGAGCCACAAACACACTGACTGTTACTCTAACACTTACCAGTGTGGCCGCAAGTGAGACAAACTTATAAAACATTAACAGGAGTCCTTGCAGAACAATACTCATTTTAAGCCTCTTGAAACATCATGAAACAAGATCCAAAGGGTGTGGAATGGGAACCAGACAAATCGCAGCACTAGTGAAGGAAATCAAACATGAGATCTCTTTGATGTTATAATCTGTGTACCGTGCCCACAGAACTCCGCCACAGCTAGGGGGCTGTAGAGTTTTCTCAGACCTGCTGAATGAGCTGAGCGAGGCACTTCAAACAAGAACTGTTCCTTCTTGACTATCTCTTTGTCTGGGGATTCAATATATTCATTTGAATACAGTAGCAGTAGTAACTGCAGGGTGACTTACACAAGCCATTAAGGACCCAGACCAGGATGTAGACATGAAGATTGTTAAATAATATAACAGAGGCAGGAGATTAGTAACAGGCAGCCTCCACCGTAAAGGAAGCATAAAGAAGAATATTCTCCCTCCAAGAGGCCTGATAGGCATGTCTACATCCCGGTCTGGGTCATTAATGGCTCTTATAAGTCACCCTGCAGTTACTGCTGATACTGTATTCCAATGTGAATCCCCAGACAAAGAGATAGTCAAGAAGGAACAGTTCTTGTTTGAAGGGCCTCGCTACATTCAGAAAAACCGCATTTAAGTTTCTCCTATCTGTCCATGACTTGATAGCTCATTTGTATTGCTGAATAATTTTCCGTTTTATGGATGTTATTAGCCTTTATTAGAAAGTTAAAGGAAGATTCTTTATTCCTTTACTAGCCTTTAAAGAAAACATAAAGAAGAATATTTTTATATTCTAAACATAAAGGAACATTCTTTATTCCTTTAACTAGCCTTTATTCTTTCTTCTAAAGTAAAGAAAAACATTCTGCTTATGTTTCCTTTAAAGGCTAGTGAAAAACTAGCCAGGATAGGCAAACTCAGAGCTGGAGGCGCGACCATGGAGGAAATATTTCTGCACTTGGACAAACCATGTGTAAAAGTTTTTATTAAATTGTTACAAGATAGGAAAAGAGAGTAAAAGTAGACAGGGCAAAAAGTAGTTGCTGACCCTGGTATCTATGTAGCAGCAGTGTGAATCCTCCTTAGGAACCAGGCTGAACTTGGGCTGCTCAGGAACCCACTGTATGATGAGAATCTCATCCAACGCCTGCAAGGCTCTCCCCACTCCTCTCCCATCCTGCAACCCACTGTATGATGAGAATCTCATCCAACGTCTGCAAGGTTCTCCCCACTCCTCTCCCATCCTGCAACCCACTGTATGATGAGAATCTCATCCAACGCCTGCAAGGTTCCCCCACTCCTCTCCCATCCTGCAACCCACTGTATGATGAGAATCTCATCCAACGCCTGCAAGGCTCTCCCCACTCCTCTCCCATCCTGCAACTTTCATTCACAGAGCACATCAACCTGTTCCCTCTCCCAGGGCACTGCCTCCATAACTTGACCATCTGAAATCACAACTCTATTTCTGCCTATTCAAGGCATTTATCTGCTTCTATATTTGACTATAAACCCATCTCCAGGAAGTGCCTTCCCTGTTTACATTTAATCTGTTATACTCTACCCTTTACTTTGAAGCCGAGCAGTATCAGTAGACATATTTCTGTTCACTAGGAATGTGGGCTTGTTGCCATTTGGGTGATTTTTGTTTTCTATGTAAAAGGAGAGAATGCCTTACCATCTCCCCACAACCACCTCCTCCTTCTACCACCATCACCAGCAGCCATTGCTGCAGCCACATTAATGCACAGGACCTACATACTCCTCCTATCACCATCACCAGCGGCCGTCGCTGCAGCCACATTAATGCACAGGACCTACATCCTCCTACCACCATCACCAG